GCAAGTCCCTGACCCTTCTGAGGAGCTGTCTCTGTGAGTAATCTCATTACTGCAGCACAGCTCACTCCTGCTAACAGTGAGCACAAACCCATGGAGCTCCACAGGCAGGAATTTCACTCACAATTTCCCTGGACTCGCTTGTCTTCACCTTACTGGTGCTCCTGCCCACCCACATCCTACATGGGCACTTTCACCTGTATTAAAACTTGCTAAAGAGGCATCCTGAAGCCAGAGCTGTGGAACAGAAGCCTGGGTGTTATGTACAGCAGTGATGGAAAGCTTGTGAAAATTGCCTGTGTAGAAACACATAAAATTCCATTTTATGAGAAAGCCTTCTTTCCATGCAGAACCAAAAAGCAAAGTGCCTGTGGCTAATGCCTTGACACATTCCTTGTCATTCCTCCTGCATGTTTTCACTCATTCTCGTTCCACCTTTTTACCAGGCAGCATCACTGTTGGCATAAAAAGGTGTTTTGAAAGTCCTTTCAGTGCTCTCGTAGAAGAGGTTCTGAGTTTTAGAGAATGAGCTCTGTCTTTCATCAGTAAGGGTTTTCCCCCGTTTTGTGCTTCACTCTTGTGCGTTCCGACTCCTGTGTGCAGCTGGAAGGGTGACTGCAGATGCTGTCACAGCAATGGCACTGTCACAGCAGGACGGCCGGGGGGAAAACATGTGGCAAAACTGGTGATGTTTTCTCAGAGGACTGGTACAACTGGCACAAGCCAGGTAAAAACCGATCAGCCTCTGGACACCAGGACTTTGCAGGAATTACTTTGATATTGTAGTACAACTCTCCCCTTTAACAGGACTATATATAAGCAAGCTGTCTGTCAAGTCAGGGGCTTAAAATGCTTTATCAGTGAGAACACACATTTTTATCAGTGAGAACATACATTTGTGGGTGTTTTCAACAGAGCTGCTGAGTCGCTTCTGATCGGGAGAGGCACAGTGGGAATTTGCCAACAGGGCAGCTGTGCACCCATTCACACAGTCCAGTGTTTGTGCTGCTCTTACAGAGGGAGATTCAGGTGCCACTTCCAGATCTGTGTGAGCAGAAGGAGTTCAGAGAAATCAGCCTGTTCACAGGTGACACCACACCAAAGCCGGCCTACAATGACAGTTCAGGCAGTGATGATTTCTGATTATTTTTGTGTTGTACATTGGGTAAAAAAAACCCTGTACCAGAGGAGCTCTGGTTATTTATGGCAGTGGGGAATAAGGGCTGGGGTTCCACAGAGAGCTGACTTCGGTTTCAGCTTCGTTTTCCCATGAAAAATAAGATCCAATTTTCCCACAGACTCTACTAACACAGCATGAAATCCTTGCAGAACACAGGGCACAGCAGAGAGCAAGGGATTTTAGCCAGGTGGTAACGGATGCATTGGGAAGGTACTGGATCTGCCAGGAACAGGGCATGGTGACATTCTCATTGCTAAAAGGAAGCCATCCCCTGAAAACTGATTCCAGTGCAACTCCCCTGCTAAATTCTGCAGAGCAGAAAGTGTGTGGGATGCTGCAGCGGAGGGAAATTCCCCGTTATTCTGGGAGCGAGAGAGCTGAGGGAGTGCACAGACGAGGCACAGGGGATGCCTGTGGGAGCACACGGAGCACGGAACGAAAGCAGGCAAAGCTGCATCTTCTGCAGGATGCAGGTCTGGTCCTCGCCAGGGCTCTGGGCTGGGAGCGAGGGCAGGAAGGAAACCTGGATTGTGTGGCTGGAAAGGGGATGGCAGAGCAGAGTGTCAGCTCCACCCGCAGGGCAGCGGAGGAACGCGGCGGGGAGCGCAGGGGATGCTGCTGCTGCTGCTGCTGCTGCTGCTGCTGCTGCTGCTGCCGCTGCTGCTGCTGCTGCTGCTGCTGCTGCTGCTGCTGCTGCTGCTGCTGCTGCTGCTGCTGCTGCCGCTGCTGCTGCTGCTGCTGCTGCTGCCGCCGCTGCTGCTGCTGCTGCTGCTGCTGCTGCTGCTGCTGCTGCTGCTGCTGCTGCCGCCGCTGCTGCTGCTGCTGCTGCTGCTGCTGCTGCGTTCTGGGGGGAACCGGGAAATCCTCCTCGGCACGGCGCTCTCCTTCCCACCGAGAACAGCCACGCTGTGTCACCCGAGCGTTTAAAAGGCGTTCATTCCATGCTGCCACTCTGCTGCTTCTTAAAGGCGCCTCTCAAAACAACTTTTTTTTTTTCTTTTTTTTTTTTTTTCTTTTCTTTTCTTTCTTTTTTCCTGTTGTGGACAGGCCCTGCCCAGGATTACCTGGCCCTTCTGGCTGGGAACTTACTCAGAACCAAGTGACGGACATGAGCTTAAACTCACCGTCAATCTCACTGATATGGAGTTCAAAAGAGTGTAATCTTGCCTGAATATCAACTTTCCGCTTCAGTTTAAAGATGTGGATTGTTGATCACGGCATCTCCGTATCTCCTCAACAGTTGCAGAGTGTCACTGCAGTGTTTCAGGCTGTTTGCTTGTAAACAGGGCAGGAAACGCTCAGGGATGTCTCACAGGATCACCAAGAAAAGATATCCCAAAGTATCTTGCGTATATTGGGTGTACTTTAACTTAATTCATTTGCACGCTGAAAGAATAAGTCATTGCTGCTTTCTCTTGCTCTTTTCCACTTTCTCAAGCAGCACAGAGCCTCCAGTCTGTCTCCTCTCAACCAAAGGTGAGCAAACGGTCAGGATCTAATCTGGGATACAGTTCTGTTCACCTTATTTTCAATCACTTTTTTTGGTTTTACTTTTGATGGCTCTGGCTAACTATGTTTTGAATTAGTCTCCAGAGACTGAATGGTTCCGTTTGTTTTTAACAGACATGACTGAACAGATTCTGGTTTATTCTGCTGTTGGTAAATAATTTGCTCACCAAAATGAAAATATTTACCTGGTTCTAAATATTTTTTCCTAGAGGCTAACCAAAATGCCTTGCTCAGTTTCTTTTCCCATTTTTAATCATTAGAGAACACCTATAACACTCCAGAAACTGTAGCATGTCAAATATGAATGAAAATGATATTTCTTCTGCAATTACACGTTTCTGGCATTTTCATGTTCATCAGACATTATGAAGTGTTCTGTTTGTCAGTGTGTGTTTCTGCACAGCAACACCCTGTGAATGAGAATGTTATTCCTTCTCTCAAGCACTGAAAGTGCATTGAGATGTCCAGGTTTATTTTTGCACAGAGAACTCAGCATGTTGGGATCTCTAGCTGAAAACACTGTTGAAACACCCAGCTGGTATTTATGGTATTGTACGGCTGCCTTAGAGCCAGGAGATACCAAACTAACTATATCAAACTTTCTTTGTGATTTCCTTCCGTCACCCCATCCCCCCCTAATTCCCTGAATTACTGCTCAGCCCCGAAAGCTGCCCCAGAACAGCCATGGCTCCGTGTGCTGAGGGCCTGGAGAGCACTGGCTGCTCACTCAGGGTCCGAGGCAGGCTGCAGCCTTCCCCAGGGGCTCTGCAAGGTGTGGCTGACATGGTCAGCACAGATGGACGGGCTGCATCTGCCTTTTGTGCAGGGACTAGAGAGTGGCTCTGAAGGTGGGATCTGCCTCTGAGACCCTGAGAGGAGCTGAGCGTGTCTCCCGTGTTTCAGCCTGATTATCAGAGAGGCGCTTTCTGCGGCTGGGGTGGCTCTGCTGGCATGGAACCAGGGCACTGGGATTTAGGAGGGCTGTGCAGGGGCACCCTCACCCTGGTGTGCAGAGGGATTCCCAGAGGGAAGCTGAGCCGGGCACTGCCACAGCTGTGCAGGGTCACGCTGCTGCTCCTCGGTTTGTGGGTGCTTCCCTGCCAGCTCTCCCTCTCTCTGAGCGCGGCAGCACAGCCCCAGAGTGCTGGGGCACCACCAGCCCCTCACCGCGCTCCCCTCACAGACCCAACCGCCCCAGGGGGCAGAAAAACAGAGAATATCCCCAACTGGAAGAAACCCAAAAGGATCATCGAAATGCAACTCCTGCTCCTGCACAGGACAGCCCCAAGAACCCACCGTGTGCCGGAGAGTGCTGTCCAAACGCTTCTTGAGCTGTGTCGGGGCTGATCCCATGAGCACATCCTGGGGAGCCTCTTGCAGGGCCCAGCTCCCTCTGGGTGGTGACACAGACACGGACACAGCTCCGTGTCCTTCCCTCGGCTCCTTCAGGGGCACCGCGGGGAAGAGAGCGGTGCTTGTCCCTGTGCTTCCCCTCACAGGGAGCTGCGAGGTGTCCCCCAGCCCCCTCAGCTCCAGGCTGCCGAGAGCCAGCGCCCTCAGCGCTCCGTGCAGGCGCCCTGAGGGACGGGCGCTGAGGGACGGGCGCTGAGGGACGGGCTCGCTCTGCCCATGGCTCTGCCGTGCCCCGCTTTGCTCCGTCCTCCCGGAGCCCCTGAACCCGCGGATATTTCTGTGGCATGTCCTTCGTGCGAGACACGCTCTGAGCGGGCGGGGATCGCGGCCCGGCGCTCTCGGCTGGGCCCGAGGGGCTCCTGGCGGGGGAGGGAGGCCGGGCCGGGGCGGGCGGGGGTCGGTGCCGCCGGGGCGCCTTGGAGAAGCTGCGGCCTCTACCGGGGAAGGGAGCCAGGCGCCGGCAGGGAAGGAGAGACAGACAGAGGGAGAGCGGCCGGTGGGAGCGAGCCGAGGCCGGAGCGGAGCTGCCGCGTTCCCCCCTCGCTCGGTGCCCGCGGCGGGGCGGGGCGGGCGTGGCGGCGAGCGGAGCCCGCAGCGCCGAGGTCTCCGCTCCCTCCCCCGGCGGAAATTTACCGGGTCGGTGCTCGGCGAGGGGTTCGGCAGGAGGCGGAGGGAGGGCGGGGAGCGGCGGAGCATCATCTGGCGGGGAACGCGAGGGACCAAATGACTGTGAGCAAGGGCGGCAGCCGCCACCGCCGCCGAGAGAGCAGCGAGCCGCAGCGGCAGCAGCAGCCCCGCTCCCCCGCGGCGATGGCGGCGGGCGGCGGCGGGGCTGAGCGGAGCTGAGCCGGGCCGAGCCGCGCCGGGCCGGGCCGGGCCCCCGCCCGCGGCCCCGCATGGCGCGGGCCTGATGTCGGAGCGCGGCCCGGAGCCGCGGCGGCGCTGCGGGAGCAGGAGGAGGATGGCGGGGCTGCCGTGGAAGTGGCCGCGCACCCGCCTGCCCGTGGGCGCCAGCGCCCTGGGCGTCTTCGTGCTCTGCTGGCTCTACGTGTTCCCCGTGTACCGGCTGCCCGACGAGAAGGAGATCGTGCAGGGCGTGCTGCTGCAGCAGGGCAAGGCGTGGAGGAGGAACCAGACCGCGGTCGCCCTGTTCAGGTACCGCCGTGCGCGGCCCAAGGGCAGCGGGGACGGGCAGCGGGGGCCGCCGGCCGCGCCCGGAGCCCGCCCGGCCGCGCCGAGCCCCAAACTTTATTCCTTCTGCCCCGACCCTTTGTTCTGTCACGGCGGGCGGCCAGGGCCCCTTCTGCCCCGCAAAACTTTTTTTGGGGTGGCTCCGCTGGCTGCGGGGGGAAGGGGCTCGGCGCGGGGATGGAGGCTCGTCCCCGCAGGGATGCGCTGCCAGCGGGGTGAGCGCTCCCAGGCTGCGGCGGCGCCCGAACAATGGGATGCGTCTGCTTGGCGGATAACTGAGGCACCGAACAAAGCTCCGGGGCTGCCAACAAAGCCCGGGTCTGCCCGGAGAGAGCCCGGCCCGTGCGGCTCCCGGGATGCGCAGGGAATGATGTCTGTGCAGAGAACCTGGGATGCTCAGGGGTGTCTGTGCAGAGAGCCTGAGGTGTGCAGGGATGTCTGTGCAGAGAGCCCGGCCCGTGCGGCTCCCGGGATGCTCAGGGATGGATGTTTTTGCCGAAAGCCCGGGATGCTCAGGGATGGATGTTGCACAGAGCCCGGGATGCTCAGGGATGGATGTTTGCACACAGCCCGGGATGCTCAGGGATGGATGTTTTTGCACAGAGCCCGGGATGCCCAGGGATGCTCAGAGATGGATGTTTGCACAGAGCCCGGGATGCTCAGGGATGGATGTTTTTGCAGGGAACCCGGAATGCTCAGGGATGGATGTTTTTGCACAGAGCCCGGGATGCTCAGGGATGCTCAGGGATGGATGTCTGTGCACACAGCCCGGGATGCTCAGGGAAGGTTTCCCAGGATGTGTATCCGAGCAGCCTCGGGAGGCTGGGCGCTGCTCCTGGGCTCTGTGCGCTTTGTTACAGAAGCCACGTGAAAAGGCACCTTCTCTCTCCTCTCTGCTCCTGACGTGGCGGGGAAATGGCGATGATCCCTGGGGCTCGTTTCGCCTTTTGCCCAGCTGCACACGACAGGGGGAAGCGGCAGCCGAGGAAACACAGCGGGTCCCTGCGCTGGGCAGGAATCTTTAATCACTCTCCTTTAACCGCGGCTGCAGTGGAGACCTGCGTCCCCTCAAAAATTCCTCACATGTTTGGGTACAATACAGGCAATTGGAAGAGAGGCAGATCTCCCTCCCTTTCCCGGAGGGAAGCTGGGTTTTTGTCCCTGTAGCAAGTACCAAAGTAAAGATGAGAGTGAGTGGTAATCCGAATGCCTCCAGAAATACCCTCTTTAGTAAAATGAATCAGATCCAAAATTCAAGGGACTTATTTTCCTTTTTAAAAATATTTTTGTTTGTTTTTAAGTGGCATACAGTTTTATTTTAAGTTCTTCAGTATTTTCTGAATGTATTTGCCTTTGTCAGGAGCTGGAGCTGATGTTAATATCAAGCTTTATATCTTGTCTGCTGGGATAACAGAATCCTAGCAGTTCTTTAAATGCACATGTGTTGGGTAGCCCCCAGAGGCTGGAGGAAGTCTGAGCAGTGATGGGTGATGAGCAGGAATGCTCTGATTCTGTCTCTTTAGGCAGGCCTGGAAGAAGTCCTCCCTTTAATACAGAGCTAGCAATAAGGTCCAGGTCCAGGATCCCTCTCCTAAAGCACTTAACTAACACTAGAAGCTACGCTGATCTTCTTGACTATTAGTTAATCTTGATCCTGTGCACCAAATTCCCCCATTTCTGGGGGTAGATGGATCCAGCTTTTTAAAAAACTGCCCCATAGGTTATGTAGGAAAGAGTTTGGTCTATTAGTTGTCATGTTAGTAAACAAAATGTTTGTAAAGTGGTAGTGCTGCTGCAGCTCCAGTTTACAGAACGGTTTCAGATCATTTCCACCACATGGTTTAGTAACAAACTCTGTGTGGCTTACCAGCTATTCCACTTGCCCACATGTTTTTCTGCTCTCCAAGCATAGTGATTATCTCACAGATGCTACTGAGGAGAGTCTCATGCAGTAAAAGGAGCTGTTGTTTCTTGTCTGAGCCTCTTGATGAGTTCTTACGGCACTAAATACAATGAACTTTAAATCAACCTGCTTTAAAAGTAGTTTTAAAGAGAAATTGTGTGCTGGAGATGTGTAGTGAGTATAGTAAACTGTATTATTCCAACACTTGTGGATTGGAACTCTACTTTTGCTGCTTTAATTTGCTTCTCTTCATGATGGAAGATTTTGAAGCCCATGTCAGGCAAGCTGCTGTATATTTGAGGTTTACAGAAACTCTTTGCTCTGCTCCTGCTGTCCCTAAGCAAGCCAGCTGTAAAAACTCCAAATTTAACTTTCTGCTGGAAAATTCCAGAGAATGTCAGTCTCTGTTGGAATAGGAAAGGAGGGATAGAGCTTCACAGAAAACCTGCATGTGAACTTTCAAGTAATATGGCTTTCCATAATAGTCTAATATTAAGTATTCTTTAATGTATTATTAATAAAGTATTATTGAAGAACAGTGTTAATTGCTGTTCTCCCTAGCCTTTCTGCCACATTCTGGTTAACAGGCAATTTTGGTTTCACTCAGTTTGAAGCATAAATTGGAATTAATCTGGGCTAAGAATCCAGTTCTGCTTTGTGTAACAGAGTGGCACTTGTGGGATTGTGTAGCCAGGCTCTTTCTGCACAGAGCAAACCCCTGCTGGGTTTGGGACTCTCTCCTCCCCTAGACTCACTGACTCCCCTTGCTGAAGTGGATCTTGGCTAATTGATTGGATGAAATCATGTTTTTCAAGCCTCACAAAGACTATTCCCCTTCGCCTTCTGTACCAGGGACAACTTCACTGAGTGACTTGGCGAGTTCAGCCAAACCACCGGGGTAATTTGGGGCAGTTTGGGTTGAACCCTGGCAGCCGAGTGCTGCTTTAAGAAGGGCCAAGCTCTTATCTAAAGTCCTTTCCTGTCAGCTGGGAGCAGCCAAAGGCCTCAGTCCCCACTGCTGCTCCCTCCTCCTCTCTGCAGAGCCAGAAACCTTCAGGAAAGGTGTGGCCCCTTATGCAGGACCCCAGACTGGCCTGGTTCTCCTGGAATGACTCTGTGGGGGTTTTGTGTTTGAATGCATTTCCAGAACTGCTTTTCACATATAAATACCTGCATGATTAGCCATGGATGCCTTTCAATTTCGAGAGGTTGAGGGTAGTCCTACAGTGAAAGCATCTCCTGTCTGACAAATGCTGAGCATTCTGTCAGTCAGATGGTAAAACTGCTCAGTTTTGAGCTGCAAAGTGGTCAAAATAGGAGTAAGACCTTCATTAGAGCCACTAATAGCTAATGTGTCTAATGTGCCTGCAGTGTAATGGCTTGTCATCCTCTGAGGTGGTTCATGTTATTGAGCCCTAATTGTTTTTACAGATTGCTTAGGGGTTTTTTAGGGCCTAGTGCTGCTGGGATTATGTAGACAAAATGTTTTTACTTGTTGTCTGTTATTTGCAGAAGTAAATTGCAGACAGTAATACCTTTAGGATGATTCTGTTTAAAATACTGCAATTCATTAAAGGCGGACCTGGATCTTCTTATCTGCCTGACAATCTCCATAGAGCCAGGAATCCCGAGCACAGCACTGCTCCTCCTGGATTCATGAGCACAGGGATGCAGTTCAGGTCACTCCCCCACGGCTGTGGCAGCTGCTGTTGCTGAGTCAGCAAGGTTTCCTTATTCAGATGGGTTTTTCCTTCTCTTTTTGTGGCAGCACTGCAAATTACACCAGTCTGGGGATTCTCACTGGGCTATTTCAAGGCAAATCTGAGATTAAGCTTTATATTGCTCGGGCTATCTTTAGATAGGAGTTTGGCCCTTCTTAAACAGCTTCACCAGATACAGATTTATCCCTGCTTTCCCTGGATGCATATGAAGGACAGAGCTAGGAACAGACCTGGGAGGGGCTGGATTAGGTTAGTTCTGCCTCTGTGCCCTGAAACTCATGGACATGCCCACGTGTTGAGCCAAATCCAGTTCATTTTTCTGTCCTTGGTGCTACTGCCTGGCTGTGTTTTCATCAACATTTTACTTGATGATGTTGTTGTTGCTGTAGTATTTGCTTCACTGGTGGTAAATGGAGTATTTGCAATTTGTGTTTCCAGCTGAGATGAGTTGTTTTGGTGGAGAGGTACAGTTTTGGAGAGCAGGTTAAAGGTGAGAGGAAAGAAATGTTCTTACTGCATGTTACTATTTGGAGGCTGTGATGAGGAAAGCAAGCTGTAGAGAGGCTTGGCTCCATATCTTCAAGGTGGATCCCTGAATGACATGAAAACAATGAGGAATAGCGATCTGAGTTAGCTCACAGTGTCTTTGCAGAGGAGAGCTGTGCCGGCAAGACAGGAACTGATTTAAATTCCTGAGTTCCAGCAGCTCCTGCTCTCTCCTTCCTTGACCCTAAGCAGCATTTTCTTGCAGGCTGTGGTTGTGAGTGTTGAAGAAACAGGCTGCTGGGGTCCCTGCTATGCTGCACCGTTCTGGATTGCTGCTTTCCCCTGGACTGTAGACTGTACAAACCCCAGCGTGCCAGCAGGTATGGGGGCTGTGGCAGCCCCCGAGGCTCCTTTCCAGGTATGGGGGCTGTGGCAGCCCCCGAGGCTCCTTTCCAGGTATGGGGGCTGTGGCAGCCCCCGAGGCTCCTTTCCAGGTATGGGGGCTGTGGCAGCCCCCCGAGGCTCCTTTCCAGGTATGGGGGCTGTGGCAGCCCCCCGAGGCTCCTTTCCAGGTATGGGGGCTGTGGCAGCCCCCGAGGCTCCTTTCCAGGTATGGGGGCTGTGGCAGCCCCCCGAGGCTCCTTTCCAGGTATGGGGGCTGTGGCAGCCCCCGAGGCTCCTTTCCAGGTATGGGGGCTGTGGCAGCCCCCCGAGGCTCCTTTCCAGGTATGGGGGCTGTGGCAGCCCCCGAGGCTCCTTTCCTGTCAGCTGGAGCAGCCAGAGGCCCCAGCCAGGCTCTGGGGGCTTTTCTGGAATGCAGGTTACCCACTGGGCCCCAAAGCTGCTCTGTGCAC